AAAAATTGAAGACGACCGCGCGCGGCGCTGAGGCGAGAGCATTTTGAAAACCAGCAGCCCTCCATCCTTGAACCTGCTGTAAACATTGAAGACGAATGTGCGCGGCGCTAAGGCGAGAGCTACACTTTGAAAACCACCCGCCCTCCATGCTTGAGGCGGTTGCAGCTTTCAAGCTTCAGGGTCATGAGAGGTGGGGAAGTCTCTGGCAAAACACCCTGCCTGCCATACCGACGCGTCTTGGCGTGCGAGAGGGGGGAAGTATTCATAAGGAAACGGGATGAGGGAGAGCAAGAGGAGAAGGAGGAGGAGGCGGAGGAGGAGAAAGAGGAGAAGTAGGAGGAGGTGGCCTCTTGGGGCTGGGGGCCTGTTGGTGGCCTCTCGGTGGCTTGTTGGGGGCTTCCTTGGGGCTCACTGGGGGCCTCTCGGCGGCCTGTTGGGGGCCTCTTGGGTACTCTCAGGGCGATCTTGGCCCGTCCGACGCCTTCGGAGGCCGTCTTGGGGGGCTCTCTCAGCCGCCTTGGTGGCCTAGGTCACGCGGGGACTCCTGGGAGCGCCCGGGAGCGCCGGGAGCACGGGGGTCCGGGAACCTAAAAGAAATATTCGAGCCACAGAGTTCGAAACGGCTTGAGGACACTCCGCTCAGCGCCTACGACACACGATGGCGGCCAGATCCTTTGATTTGAAATCCATGGGACTCTCTCCCCCCCCCGTGCAGGGGTTATCCGCCCCCCTCCTTTGAATGGTCCAATGCCAGGCAGGCAGGCATCGCCCCCTGTCAGATGATACAATGCATCGCGCACGCGTTTACCAACATTTGGGTTTGCCTGAGTCCCGCTCAAGTAATACAATGCGGGCCACATCTTCGCGCAGACGCCTAAATCCATTCAAAACCTTGGCTATGCATGGCTGTGAAGCAAGATCTCCTGAACAACACTTGTGTACAATGGAAGTTGCGAGGTTTGTATGCGCGCGCACTCGCTGAAAGCATGCCAAGACATCCAACGGCAACCGTTCGGTTTGCCGTTCTGGCATGCGCGCATGCCGAAGACATCCAACATTTATCGCGCACTCCCTCCGTAGCCATTTTGGCCCAAGTGGGCTGCAAGCCTTCCTTTGACTTCTTTTGACGTCCCCCTTGGATCGGGATCCTTTTGCCTTCCTTTTTGATTTCTTGTGACTTCCATTCAACACCTAGGGGCGATGGCGCGACTCATGCAGGCGTTCGTCTTCATCGCCACCTGCGGCGCGCTCTCTTTCGAGCGCCACGACCCTGACTACATTGACCCGGAGGACATCAGGCAGTTCAGCCAGTCCAGCAGTTCGATTACGAGCCGCATCAACGGCGGATCGATCAAGGCCGACAGCGAGGCAGGGAGGCAGTTCGGCAGGGACGCGGCCATCGCCGAGCAGGCCGCGGCGAGGGCCAGGGACGAGGCCGCGAGGCTCATACGGGAGGACGCCGACAAGGACGTCACGGAGCGCCAGATGGAAGCCATGAGCAGGCATGCCGAGTCTCTGACAAAGAGGGAGGAGCGAGAGGAGATGATGCTGGAGAAGGTGGTCGACTCCATGGAGAAGGAGGGCGACTCGGAGGACCGCGCCGTGGAGGATATCGAGAGGGTCGGCGAGAAGCTGGAGAGCAAGGAGGTGCAGTGGGAGAGGGGCAGGAAGATCGAGGAGCTGCGTGGCGCGGACGGGCAGTGGTTCGAGGACCCGGTCTTCAAGAACGAGGAGCTTCGCGAGCGCAGCCAGGACGCGGACTTCGCCCGCGAGGAGAGCCAGGCGACCCGCCTGCTGGTGCAGGCGCGCAAGCAGGTGGACAGCGCCAAGGCGCGGGAGAAGCTGGAGCTGCACCGCCGAGACGCCCTGGAGCACGAGTCGCGCGCCCGCCTCGGGCAGGAGGCCAATGCCCTGCGGCACGCCGCGGCAATGAACGGCACCTTGTTCAGGGATGAAATCCTGCAGGCCCTCGACATCTCCAAGAAGGAGCTGAACAAGATCACCGACACACTCTCTGGCTGGAGGAACGACAGCGTGAGCGGCGTTTGGATTGAGGGGCGCCTGGACGAGTCTCGCGCCAAGGCTGCCGCCGCCTCGGCCAAGATGCTAGAGGCGATCAGGTACAACGTGGAGACCTTCAAGGCGCACCACCAGGACTACAACGACCACCAATTCCTGGCGCGGCTCGCCCATCTTCTCAATGAGACCAAGGCAGAGGTCACTGGCGTCGAGAACTTCGACGACGTGCTCATGGGCAAGCTTCGGCACTGGGACGCGAGCAACAATGAGACGCTCACCTACGACATGGCCGTGGCCCTCCAGGGAGTGACGCGCAGCGTCGAGTTCAAGAACCACCTCATGCGGATGGACACGGCTCGCCTGGCTCACGCGAGCACGAGCGAGGCGTGCGCCTTGCTCAGCAAGATGGTCCAGGCCAACCTGCAGCCGGCGTGCAGGGGCATCGAGCTCCAGAGACAGTCTCTCGACAGCCTCAGCAAGGTCGCACCGAGCATCACCGCGCACATGCCGGACTTCGTCCAGAGCACCATGATCAACCGCACCGCCTCCGTCCTGAACATGGCTTTCGTGGAGCACCTGGCGCTCAAGGAGGCCGCGACCGTCATCGCGCAGGACGCCGTGCCGCTGGTCCTGGAGCGCCTCCGGTGCGCTGCGAGCGGCGCGGAGCGAGCGGCGGCGCCGGCGCTGCTGGCGCTGCTGGGCGCGGCGGCGGCGTGGCTGGCGCAGTGAGCCAGAGAATTTCCCCCGCGGGCGCGCCCAGCAGGGCGCGCTCACGGAGGGCCGTGCGCCTCGCGCCGCCACAAAGGGCGGTGGCGAGGAGCCGATGGGGGGGAGGAGGAGGAGCAGGAGGCGGGGAGGGGGAGGTCGTCCAACCTGAGTGCGTGCGGGCGAAGGCCCTGCTGCCCATCTGGGCCATGGGGGCTAAACCGAGTTGTTTCTGTTCACTGGTCACGGCTCTCGCGCGGCAAGAAATCGTTATCGCGCACCCGGCAGATCTGACAAGCCAGACAATGCGCACGACGAAGCAAAATTACAGGTGTTTCATGAGCATGTCAAGACAGACGTTTTCAAATGCAGATCAGGCTCCAACGGCGTTCCAATGACAAAGTTTGCCATGAGTTATGTTTTTGCGACGCGTGCGAGCGCTGCCTCATCGTCCTCATCAGCACCACCATCGTCATCGCCAGCACCGTCATCATCACCACCATCTTCATCGCCATTCCCATGGACGTCATCATCATCCCCACCGCCGTCTTCCACATCATCATCATCATCATCATCATCATCATCATCATCATCATCATCATCATCATCATCAACATCATCATCATCATCGTCATCATCATCGTCATCAGCAGCAGCATCATCAGCAGCATCATCATAGCCAACATTATCATCATTATCGTCATCATCACCACCATCATCATCATAACCATCATCATCACACCCATCATCATCACCATCCTCATCGTCATCATCAACGTCATCGTCATGAACATCATCTTATCAACATCATTAACATATATGCGCAATCATCATAACCAACGATTGCCAGCAATCATAAGCATCATCCGCATCATCATCATCATCATCATCAGCATCGTCGTCGTCATCGTTGTCGTCGTCGCCCTCGTCATCAGCGCCACCACCATCATCTTACTTGCACGCCCGACCAAGGATCTGCACGATAAGGGTCCTCGCGTCATTACGCCAGTCGAGTTGTGCTAAGAAGTTGCTGGTAGGCGGGTGGGATGTTTGCTCTAGTATTGGAGTGAACGCAGAGCATTGGCTGTGGTTACGCGCGGTGCAGACTGGTGAATTGCACCACGGAGAATTCACCGCATCACATACATTTGATGACGTCACATCTACTGCACCAGTACCCATCGGTCGTTGAAAGTAGGTATTGTTGGAGTCCCAGGTTCCAATCTATTTTAAGCGCCTTCCTACTTCAATCATCGAGTGGCTTCACCTTCTCGTCCTCCCAAGGGGGCGGACGGAATTCAATCTATTTTCAACGCCTCCCTACTTTATGTTTCTACCTACTTCTTCCTACCGATGGGCATTACACCAGTACGTTGCGCTACTCTTATTGCATCATATCTGGTGCAGCGCACCACTTGCAAGACCTTACGGCTGGGGCCCACACTGGAAGCATTTGTTAATCGATGGTGTGCTTCTCTGACGGGTCATTACGTCCACACGTCCTTGCTCGCGGCTTTCCCGCTCGCTTGGCTGCTGTTATTGCGCCACAGCCCCGGCCAGCGCCGCCGTGAGGATGCACTTCGACGAACGCTGCGCCAATCCCTCGCCCAGGCCAGGACAGTCACATAACTGATCGCGTCTCCTTGAGCCCTTCGCCTGCGGAGGGGCTCGGCCCGGGGGCACCTCTCCGACAGCCTGCCCTTCGTGCGCCGCTTGCCGCATGCCGCTCTCCTGCCTCGCGGGCCGATGCCCGGCCGCCGCGAAGACCGGCGCCCAGCGCCGCCGCCTGGCGCCCAGCGCGCTCGCCCAGCCCCGAGCTCAGCGCCCAGCGCCTGGCCAGGCTGCCGCCACGGCCGGCTCCCGGCTGCCGGCTGCCGGCGCCGGCCCGCGCCGCCCGAGGCCGCACTGTTTTCCGCGCTCGGGCGGAGCTGCGGCGCGCCGTGGGGGCCAACGGCTGGGCGGCGCGCGTGGGGTGCCTGGGCTGAGCGTGTGGGGCCTCGCCTTCCCCTCCTCCAGCCTGATGCCTCTCCTCCCCTTCCTTGTCTCCTCCTTGGCTCCCTCCGTTCTCCCTCCCTCTTCCCCCCCTGGCCCTTCCTGGATTCCTGCCTGCTCCCTCCGCCCTCCCTCCCTCGCTCCCTCACCCTTGCTACCTCCTCGCGTCCTCCCTCAATCTTTCCTCCTCCCTGCTCCCTCGCTCCCTCCCTCTACCTTCTCCATCCTCTTTCCTCTCGCCAACCTCCTCGTCTTCGTCTGCGCTCCTCCCTTGAGCAACATTTTGGCTCGAGGCTGCCCAGTCGCGCCTCCGACCAGGGTGCTGCACTCTTGTCCTGGGGCGCCTGAAGCTTCCCCCCCCCTCCCCCGCAGCATCCTCCACAGCTTCCCCCTCCACTCCCTCCCCCCCCCTCCTCTCCCTCCTCCCTTCCTCTCTTTATTCCATTTGCCTCCGCATCCTCCCTATCTCCCCCTCCCCCCTCTCCCCAGAGATCAGACGTCTTGTGTGTGTGTGCGTTTCTGTTTGTGTTTGTGTTTGTGTGTTGTGTGTTGTGTGTTGTATATGTGTATGCGTACTTGTATGTGTATGTGTATGTGTATGTGTGCGTGTGCTTGTGTTTGTGTTTGTGTTCGTGTTTGGCCGTAGCCTCTGGCTCAAGTCTGGCTCAAGCCACTCTGGCTCGAGGGTGCCCAGCCGGCTTGCCGCGCAGGGGCGCGCGGCCCCCTCAGCCGGGGGGTCCGTGCGGAGCCGGGAGGGGTCACCAGGGCCCCGCGGGCCTCCCCCTCCCAGCTCCTAGCGACGCGGCCGATGGAGGCCGCCGCGGCGCGGCGGCGGCGGCGGCAGCGCTGCTGCGCGGCCGCCTGCGCCGCGGGGACGGCTGCCGCTGGCGCTCCTGGCGCCGCGGCGGCTTCCGCCGCCGGGGCTGGCGCTGCCCTCGGCCGCCGGCGCCGCTGGCGGCCCGCCGACTGGCGCCACCGCCGCGGGGTCGCCGCCAGCGCTGCCGCTGCCGCCGCCGGCGCCGCCGCGGCGGCCGCGGCCTCCGCTGCTGCCGAGGCTGTCGCCGCGGCCAGCTGTGGCTGCCCCACGGCGACCGCCACTGCCGTGGCGCGCGCCGCGGCGCTGTCGGCTGCCGCCGCTGCCGCCGCGGCGGTCGGCGTCGCCACGGCGCCCGCCGACCCTCAGGGGCGACCAGATGCCCTGCGCAGGGCCCCCCCTGCGCGGTGCCCTGGGCATGCAGAACCCCGCGGGCCTCTGGGACCCTGCTGGGTTCACGGCGGCTGGTAGCACGGAAAATCTCGCCAGGAGACGCCAGACAGAGATCATGCACGGGGTGGGCACGTTGGTGACGATCGGCTACACCACGCCCGAAACCACTGGCACGCCGCTCGGCTATTCGCCGCCCTCCGCGGACCCGACGCTCGTGGACATCCCGAAGGAGCTGGGGGCGATCTCCCAGGTAACGGACATCCTGGATGAGCTCGGGACCATCCCCCAGGGTTCCGTGGCGGATTGGGCACAAATCGTGGCGCACGACACGCTCGGCGAGTCGTTTCAGGCCCAACCTGCCGACACCGCTGCCGCCGCAGGCGACGTCGGCTTCCAGGTGTTGGCGGCCAGCGGCGCTGGGGAGAAGCATGAGAAGTCGGCGGCGGAGACTGCCAATTTGTGCCAGGCCATGGCTGCCATCATCGGGGCGCTGCTCCATTCCGAGGACACTTCCCTCTACGAGGGTCGGAGGGGACCGCTCCTGCGCGCTAAGCTGATGTCATGGCACAGTAGAGTTGCAGAGTACTACTTGCAGTCTTGCGGCGCTACATTCGCCCAACGCCGCCCGCTGCAATTCCGGGATCAGCGCGCGCGCCAGGGCCAGCAGCGGCAACGGGCCCTCGCGCTGCTCATCGCGACGTGAGAGGCGAAGCTGGCGCTCAACGCCATCAGCTACAGCACTTGGACAGCGATTGCGTGAAGAACGAGCAGTGGCAACGGGCTCTGGTGCCGCTCAGCGAGGCGCGCGAGGCGCAGCTGGAGCCCCACGCCACGTTCTCCTGAGCACCAGCGGAATTGTTCTCTCAAGCGCTGGCAGACATGTTATCCTAAGCACTGGCGGAAAATGACCAGTGGCACCGGGCGACGGCGCTGCTCAGCGAGACGCGGGAGGCCCAGCTGGATTCCGATGGCATCAGCGACTCCGCTAGGATCAGCCCGCGCAGGAAGAGCGATCAGTGGCATCCGGCCCTGACGTCACGGGACGCGGTAGGCCAAGATGGAGCCAAACGCCATCGGCTGCAGCACTGACTTCAACGCGCGCGAGAAGAGCAAGCTGGGGCGGCGGGCTCTGGCGCCCCCCAGCGGGATGCGGCACGCACGTCGCGTGCGCGTCGTCATCATGGCGCCCGCGGCGGCGACGACATGCAAGCGACGTGCGCCCTCGGGCCCCTTCGGGGCCTGGCGGCGGGCGTTGTCGCCGCTCTGCGCGTCAGGGCGATGCGGGAGGTGAAGCTGGCGCCCGGCGTCATCCACTACAACTCTGTGATCAGAGCGCACGAGGACGGCGAGCAGTAGCGGGCCCCGGCGCCAGTCAGCGCGTCGCGGGGGGCGAAGCTGAAGCCCGACGTCGGCAGCGCAGCGCTGGGGCCAGCGCGCGCGGCCTGGCGATCGGGGCAGCGGGCTCTGGCGCTGCTCAGCGAGATTCGAGAGACTACGCTGGGGCCCGACGTCATCAGCTACAACGCTGGAGTCAGCGCTTTTTGGCCAACGCCGACGCCGACTCCGACGGCGCCTCCTGCGCCGACGCTGACGCCGACGCCGACTCGACGCCACCAACGCACGCACGCATGGCCGCGGTCACCGCTGAGCGTCGGCCGCGCCTGCCCCTCGTTGACCTGTTATGAGCTTTCCTACGCTGCCCCCCCTTGCCCTTTCTCGCGCGGGCGCTCCATGGCCCGCCTGGGGCGTGGCTGCCCAATGCGCCGCGCTGGCGCTCTTCGCCCCTCCCCCATTTCAGCGGGGCCGGCGGCGGCCAGCCGGGCCCTCGGCACCGCCTGCCTCCGCGCGCCTGGCCCGCGGTCTCCCAGGCCGTCGGCTCGCCTGCCCGCCCTCTCGCCCCCCCCCATCCAGGGCTGGCGGCCCCGCCCACCTGCCTGTCCATCTTTGCCGCAGTGCTGCGCCTGTTCGGCCCCCCGCCCCTCCCCGCGCCCGTCAGCGCCCCTCCCCGCGCGCTCTCGGCTGCAGCTGAACCCGCAGATCCTCGAGCTTCATTTTTTATGGTGCTCCTTTTAAATTGGTTGTAATTAAATGAATTGGTTTTGTGGAATTAAGCGTTGGGTGAATAGCTTTCTGGAATTATGATTTTTCTAATTAATTTTACCAATTCAATCGAAATCCTGCCAAGAGCGGCGACATCATCGCCGAGAGCGGCGACGCATTCGTCTTGTATACAGGGATGCGATAACGAACGAAATCCATTCTCCCCCACCTCCCCCCCCCCCTCGCCCCCCCCCCCCCCGTCGACCTTCCCCGTGCCGCTCGCGTTTGCCCTGGCTTTGCTCGCTGCGCCGCGCGCGCCATAGCCGTCGAGGCTGAGGCGGGCGCGCGCGCGCGCGCGAGGGCGGCGCCGCGGCGTGCCAGGCCGCGTCCGATTCTCTTGCGTCTCACCCGCCCTCACTATCTTCCCCCCCCCCGCCCACCCCATGTCGCCCCCCCCCCTAACTTCCCCGCTCCACCCGCGCTTCCCTCCTCCATCCTCGGATCCGTTCGCGCGAGTTGTTTCGCGTTGTTGTTGCGCGTCCTGGAAGGGGGCGCCCTCGCCATATATGATGGCGCCGCATCCGCCCCGAAACCCCGGTGAGAACGCGCCCAGGAGAGGTCGCAGTGATCGGTGTCGTTTCGGGGGGGGGGGGGGGGGGGGGGGGGGGGGGCGTCGAGGCAGTCGCGTGCATGCGTGCGCGTGTGTGTATACCTATACGTGTACACACATGTACAAGGGTGTGCATGTGAGTGACAGCGTATTCCTATAGAGAATCAGGTTCATCTTCACATATGTGGACACATATACGAATATATGTATGTATGTATATATATATATATATATATATATATATGTGTGTTTGTATATACATCTAGTTTTCCATTTGCATATACATTAATGTATACTCATATACGTAAATACACACAAATACATGCACAACGACATGTACAGCCACGCATACATATGCCAACGCATATACTTTCACACATACATATACACATGCACGTACACACCTACATGTACATATACATACACATACGTGTGTATGTATACACTACATATATGTACATGCACATAAACATGTGAATATGCATCGTAAATATTTGTATATATATGCATGATGCTCTCGGACGGTCTCTGCGCCCCCGTCCCGAAGGGGTGCCATGATGACCCCGCCTGGCGGGCGGCTCAAGACCGCCGACGTCGGGCCCGAGCTCGTGGCCGCCGCGCTGGCCGGCGCCTCGACTCCAGAACACGTTCTGTATCTAGGCTGCCTCCTCCTCCTCCCCCGATAGATCTCCCCCTCGCGCCTCCTCCCGCGAGGTTGCGCTGGGGCCCCCGACTTTGCCGCGCGCGAGCTGAGCTGGGCCTCGCGACCCAATCGCGAGCAGCTGCAGGTGCGACGGGGGATGAGGGAGGGGTGAGATGGGCGAAGGGGTTCATGGATGAGGCGCGGCAGGGCGGGCAGAGAGGGCAGGGGGAGATCGGGAGGGGCTCGCTGCTGCAGCGTCGGCATCCTTCCACTCCTCCTTCTCACCCTCCCCCCCGAACACTGCGGAGCGGGGCGGGGTGGAGGTGCGGGGCGACATTTGCAAGGAGCTGCGCAGGATCAGCGACGGCAAGCGGTTCTCGCAGTCGCCGATGCAGGCCGCGCTGCCGAGAGGGAGAGGAGAGAGAGAGAGAGAGAGAGAGAGAGAGAGAGAGAGAGAGAGAGAGAGAGAGAGAGAGAGAGAGAGAGAGAGAGAGAGAGAGAGAGACAGGGGGAGAGATGGATCGACGGAGGGTCCTCGAGGGATCGACGACGGGATCGATGGAGAGATCGATGGAGGAACGGACGCGCGGGATAAAGGGTTCGTCGATGTAGGGATCGACGGAGGGGTGGATCGAGAGCTGGATCGATGGTTTGTACACATACGCGCGTAACTCTATGCACATGTATATGAGTGCGAATGTTTATGCGTATGTGCATATGCGTGTGCAAATGTATACGGATTGATGCAGTGTTCTGCGGATGTGTGCGTGTACGTGTACGTGTATATATATATGTATGGATGTACACGTATGTGCTCGTATAGGTGAATCTTGAGATCACTACTGGTAC